AATCTAGAATCTCGGAAATTTTCCTCTTTCATCATCACAAAAATCATGGGGTCACATCTTTTTGCAAAGCGCTATAATCAATTGTGAAATACTGAATTACAATTAGAATAAGTCATTATTTCAATTAACATGTAAGAGGAACGTCACAAGCATCGCCAAATAGAATTGTCCACCATGAAATCGTATTTGCTAAGAGGCTCAGTATAATCAAAAGTATAACTATTATAAGACCGCAAATACAGAACCAATTATGAATTTGTGAAGAAGTATATATATTTTTTTCACCATTCACGTGGAATATATACGCAACAATATTGTTGAAGGACCAAATAGTGCAAATTATGGTGAGAAATTTACATCGACAAAAAAATCCAATTGGACGAGTGTAATACGCTATGATTATTGCTAACCAAGGTAGTGTTACTGAAGCTAATGCAGTAATCGCAACATGAGTTTTTTTGTTATAAAGTTTATCTAGGCTGAGATCTTTAACCGGTATAGGATTGATTAAGAGTTCTGGTGACACTCTGTCTACTACTTTTCCATTTTTTATTCTTAGGTAAATTATGGGTAATGTCCAAATGAATAATGTTGGTATAAAGGGCCAATCTTCTAAAGAATTATCTTCCATACATGGCCCTGCAGCTTTAGATATACCTACAAATATACCAATCAATATGTAATAGGCTGATACTAATGATGCCAGTCTATCTAATAAAGATGCTTCCGCTACCCAATTATCTAAAATCGCTTTCTGTTCGGGGGTAGGATTTAAATTTTTTGCATGATGTCCAACAGGTCTAACGGCAATTGTATCATCATCATTATTATTATTATTATTTTCAATATCATTATTATCTTGAATGAAGTATTTTGGCTCTTCGAGCCAATAGGCACTCATATTTGTCTTATCACCTTTGATGTTGCAGAAATAAAATAATCCTGTAAAGGGACATCCAAGGCATCGTAATAACCATAGGAGCTTCGAAACCAAACTTTCGCGCGGTGTAGTTCCAATTATTGTTATGGCTGGTAAAATTCCCAAAACATATTGAGGGATTGGACTTTGAAGACTATGTATTACTGTCAAAATAGTTGGTTGTGATGACATTTTGTATCAATGTTAGAAATATAAAGAATTATCACTGAAATTATCGAAATTATTGGGATGAGAAAGGTCTTAATAACGCGCTTCTCAGATAATTTTTCAATTATTTATAAAAATTAAAGTCGTACGCGTTACATGACGCCATCAACGATAAAATTTTTCAAACTTTGCGCAAAGCACACGTCGTATATTATTGGTACAATCGGTGAAGATAACGATAAAAGAAATTTCCTAGTATGGAGGTAGCTAAACCAAGATGTTTTTTCTATTTAATCGGATCAGCTCCGACGAAATAAAACGTGAAACTGATGCTATCTAGTATCGCACCAAAATCAAATATCTACATAATAGTGTTGTACATTTTGACTGTCCCGTCCCATCCTATCCGGAACGTCTCAATTTTGTCTCATTAATTTCTCAATTTTTGGCCTGAAAAATTAGATCAAAACAATAATAAAATATATGTAAAATTAAATTTTAAACATCTTTATTTAAGAGATGAAAGAAGGTTGTCTTAATAAAATTTTGAATTTTCATTTTTTTTAAAGCTCCAATTTGTCCCAAATCTATCTCAGCTTTGTCTCAACTGCTCCGTGTACAACACTGCGTACGTATGGAATTAAATTCATTCAGTGATAATAAATATAACTAGTAAATATTACACAAAATTTCTTATCTCCTTTAAATATTTTCTAAATAGAGGCTTTCATTTTACTATTCATTTCATATAATTTTCATTTTTCTCGTAGGATGAATGAACGTGCTAATTTATTGTAAAAATGGTAAAAAAGAAAACCATGTTTGGAATGCTTAGCATTTTCTAAAAAGTTTTATTATACACGTATTAAGTTTTAAATACAGTATAACAAATTCGCAAATTGGTTACTGTGAAAGATAAGGAAAATAATAAATTATAATGCACGAACATGAATGAATATACCCCGATTTAAATGTAAGCAAATTCAAAATATTTACAATGTTTATAATGGCTAATAAATAAATAAAATCTTGTGATTATTTGTGTACGATCAAATTAAAACAAAACATGTAAATAAAATTTGTTTCATTTGTATCGTACTTAACCCTAGAAGAACTGTGATACCGATATTGCGTAATTTAAATGTTATCGATCAATGTTCTGGTCATTTCTGGAGCACAAATACATCCAAACATAAACTACTATTTTTAATCGAATGACTAAAAACCTAAATTCTTCTGGGGTTACTGAAAATTTTCTACAGTGCACGACACTTAAAGACTAAAATCACGTGACTTTGTCCCATTTCGAGTCCTAAATTTAAAATCGCTTAAAATTCGATTTTTACATGAATTTCTGCGCGGTCACGTGACCAACGGAATTATACTGAACAGTTCTCAAATCTTTATACTGCCCGTGCCCAAATAAGAATTACAAATTTAACTCCTTTTTAAAACCACATGGCAACTTTTATATAACAAATATCACAACTAGAGGTGTAACCCAAAACCGATAGTTTCGTCAAATGCCAAATCCCAAATTGCCGAAACTAGTTTGGGATTTTGCCGTAGCAAAGTCTCATCATACGACTAATATGTCATAATTTTTGAATATTGACAAAATCCCAAATCCAGATCAAAATGTGCCGAAAGTGCCAAATGGTTTGGGTTACATCAGTAATCACAACTTCCGAATAACCAAAAAATAAATGAGTAGTTTCGATTTATTATAATTCCGTGTTACATCATTAATACATCATTAACATGTTAAATTTTTATTGCCGCTTGTTCGTTCTTGTGCTGTTCTCATATTTATTACTACTTGTTCTATTTTCATATACTAATGGCTAATAACTAGTTAAAAAGTATAATATCCTCCATAAATGAGAGAAGAAAAAAAGCGCAAAAAACAATTTGCAAAAAAAACAAAAAAATTTGCAAAAAAAAAAAAATTATCACATTATTGAAACGCCAGAATACTGAATTAACCAATACTTTATTGGTATTATTGAGGTCTAGAACGGAATATGGTATATATGGTTTAGACCAATGCAAAAAAAAAAAAAAAAAAAAAAAAAAAAAAACTTACGAATCGATACGATCAATATTCTCTTGATTCTCTTGAATAAAAGAAGTCAATTCACTCCGAGGAACTCGTCTATGTGACTTAAACCTCTTACAAGCATATTCGGCCAATTTTTCTGTCAGCCCTTCACGATATAAATCCATATATTGCCAGGACTTTCAAGCAAATCTCCTGATTGTAGTAACGTCAATAGAATCGAGTGTCTGTGGAACGGTATTTTGTAAACCAGCCCATGAATAATCACATTGACTTCTTGTATAAAATTTAGTTGCGCCCCAATACATTTCAATGAAATTAAGTTCACAGTGATATTTTGGATAAAAAATGCATAAGTGGCCAGCATTCTCTATTAATTCAACAATGGCTGACTTCTGTGCAAGAAAGTCGGGTTGTGAGGCCATAATCTTTCTTGCACAACAATTTACACATAAAGGATCATTCTCTAATTTTTTATTCTTACACAGCTTGCATTCTAAACGTAACCCATCTCTCCAAAGACCCCTTTCTTGCAATGCTAATCTTAGTTCTTTTGGCTTTTCTCGCATAGTAGGATCTTCACAGTTTTTTTCAAAAACTATTTGCTGCTCAGAACCAGAAAAAATCATTGATTGCATTACTGGCTGGTTTCTACCAGGACCTAAGTTCATTCTTGATGTGACAAGAGAATCCTTTGCATATGCTGCATGGTTGGTACTGTTATCAAAGTCAAAGATGGCAGTTGCATTGGGAAATTTTGCTTTGAATATAGGGATAGTTTTATCTCTTATTTGATCTAATAAATGATTAACTGTCTAATAACTTTCTTGGTTTTTACCAGACTTAAGATAACAATGGGCTTTTACGGGAATACCTGGATACATTTCTGCCTTCTTATCAGTCAATTTTAGCTGATCACATTATTCTGTAAGAAATTCGCTTACCATTATTGACCTTCCATTTAGTGGAAATAACATAATTATGTTATTTCCACTTAATCTAGGTTATGTCTGACGATGGGATCATATATCTGTCATCATTCGAGTGACGAATGATTCGTGTTTGCGTCGTCAGAGATATATTAGTATTCGCTTCATCATTCGAGTGACGAATGATTCGCGTTTGCGTCGTCAGAGATATACTGACAAGCTAATATTCGCTCCATCATTCGAGTGACGAACAATTCACACTTGCG